AGCTCCTGCCCCAGGTTCAGCTCAGTGCCCCTCTCACATTCCAAATCTCTTAGCCTAAGACCAGAACTTGTGCCCCAATCCTCTGTCCTTGCCGGGTGAAAGGGAGGGAGAATGGGGGAGGGAGGGAGGACTGAGTGAGATGGGGCAAGGCCTCGGAGAAGGGGTAAGGAAGGAGGTGGGGCAGAGGTGTTTGAGGAAGATCCTGGATTGCAATTAAATTCAAAAAGCGATCTTGTGCTTTAAAAGGTTGGAGACCCCTGCGCATTAGTTACACGCTGGCTCATTGGCTGCTCACCCCATTCCCAAGGAGCTGGCTGCATTGTGGGCTCTGCAGTATAAAGGCTGTATTTAAGCTTTACACTGAAGAGTCCATAGCCTGTGTAACCTTGTAACCACTAGGATTTTAGCAGTGTTCATGGTTACATTTTGTAATGACTTGATACATCCCTAGAACAATCACCCAAGCCAAATCAATTTCCTTCTTTCTTGGGGTAACTGGCCAGGGAAGCAACAGATGTGATACAGCTTCATTTTAGCAAGGTTTTTGACACAGACCCACAATGACATTCTCATATGCAAATTAGAGAAATGGAGTCTAGATGAGGTTACTATTGTATGGGTACACAACTGATGGCTTTCCAAACAAATTGTTACCAATCGTTTGCAGTCAAACTGGGAGGGTGCATCTCACGGGGTCCCTCAGAGGTCTGCCCTGCATCTGCTACTACTCAACATTTTTTATTAACAGTTTGTATAATGGAGAGGGAGTTAGAAAATTTGCAGGCGGCATCAGTGTTGCAGGCATTTTGGGAAACTGGATCAGAATTCAAAAAAGACTGGCCAATTGGAGCATTGATGAAGCAAGATGAAATTCAAAAAAGTGAAGTGACAAGTACGACAACGAGGAAGGAAAAACCAAATGCACAGCCACAAAATGTGGAATAGCTGGCAATGTGTTCATCCTGATGAAAAGGATCTGTGGATCACAAATTGAGTCTGAGCCAACAATGTGATGCAGTGGCAACAAAGCTAAATATTCTGGGATGTGCTAATAGGAGCATTGTATATAAGATATAGGAGGTAATTATTACTCTACTTAGTACTGGTAAGGCCCCACATAGACTGTGTCCACTCTGGGTGCCACAGTAGGGAAGATGAGGACAAACTGGAGAGCCCAAAGGACAGGTTTGAGTCACAGAATCCTAGACATGGAAGGGATCATGAGATAGGTCATGTTTAGGAAACCTGATCTACAAGGAACAGTTAAAAAAAAATCAGGCACATTTATTCTTGAGAACGGAGAGCTAAGGAGACACCTGATAACAGTCTTCAACTACATTAAGGACTGTTATAAAAAGTACCATAATCAATTTTTATCTGCATCCAGTGAAAGTAAGACACAAAGTAACAAGCTTAATCTGCAGCAAGGAAGATTTAGTTTAAATGTTAGGAACAACTGTGTAATTACAAGGGTAGCTAGACTCTGGAACAGGCTTCCAAGAGAGGATGTGGAATCCCCATCACTGGAGATTTCCAAGGACAGGATGGACACACCAGTCAGGGAAGATCCAGGTATACTTGGTGCTGCATCACTGCACGGGGGCTGAATTTGAAGACATCTCATGATCCCTTCTATTTCTAGGATTCTGTGATTCAGACCACCTATTAGAAGACCCCCTTATTGCAGAGATAAGCTTGAAAGGGAACCCTAAAGTTTTGAAAAAACAGAAAGATCTCTCTCTCAAAAACGTTTACCATTTATAATTTTTATGCTAATGGCAAGAAGGGATCATGATTCTGAAGCAGATAGGCATGGTAACACCAAAACCAACTGCTCCTGTTGGACAAACATTTTCTCTGTAGCCAAAGGCTAGTAGGCACACAATTTGTCAGACTAGTACTGAAAGGACTCAGGATTTAGAGTTTCCTGGATGAAAAAGATCCTTTGGGTATCTGCATTTTAAGTTTCCTTCCTGTATCACTCCTGTGTACTTTTTTCACAGTGATCTTTGACAAAAGTGAGCTTTGCAATATAGAGCCAGAGTTAATCAGCATGGAGCTTTGTTAACTAAAACTAGTCCTACCCCCAAAAGATCTAGTTTGTGCCTTCATTATCCCCTAATCTCTTTGCTGAATAGACTACTCTTTACCTTGAAAGCACAGCCTAACACACCTTGGATTGCTACCAGCCAACACCATTGGCAAACGCACACCTTCTTTCAGTCACAAACTTTTCCGTGCCTACAAAGAAGAGGGAGGGCAAATGTGTGTGTTGGTTGAACCATCCTGTTGTCTTCATATTAGCTACTTGTCTCCGCTTGATTTTCTTGATCTCATATTATTGGACAAGACTTCACTCAAAAGGCCAGTGAATATATGTCTCTATAACCCTTCAATGGATGAAAATCGTGCACTTCCCAGATCTGGTTGAATACCAAGTAGTACAGTTGACTTCCGATAATCTGGCACCTTTGGGACCTAGGTGGTGCCAGATTATCAGATATGCCGTAGTATCGGGAGGTACTCTGGCGGGGGGTTATGACGGGTCTTCTGGGACCCGCACTGCATCCAGGGGGTGGGCAGGGAATGGCACGGCAAGGGGCAAACCCTCTGCCATTTTGCAGGGAGGCGGGAGAAGACTGCAGCAGTTATCGCCGAGCAGGGGAGTGAGGAGCAGTGCTGCGGGACCAAGATTATCAGATATGCCGTAGTATCGGGAGGTACTCTGGCGGGGGGTTATGACGGGTCTTCTGGGACCCGCACTGCATCCAGGGGGTGGGCAGGGAATGGCACGGCAAGGGGCAAACCCTCTGCCATTTTGCAGGGAGGCGGGAGAAGACTGCAGCAGTTATCGCCGAGCAGGGGAGTGAGGAGCAGTGCTGCGGGACCAATTCGGAAGCCCCTCAGCTGCTCCGCCCCGCCGCTTCCCCAAGTCCACTGCTGCCGCTGCTGAGAAACCGAGGAGCAGCGGACTTGGGGAAGCTGCAGAGCAGAGCAGCTGGGGTGCTGCCAGGTTGATCCCGCAGCGCCACCCCTCACTCCTCTGCTCAACAATAACTACTGCAGTCTGGGGAGCCCGCTCCCCTCCCGGAAACTCTCGGCAGCGGCACGGGGCTTGCCCTGCCTTCCTGCAAAATGGCGGAGGGTTCGCCCCTCTCTGAGCCGTTCCCCACCCACCCCCCACCCGGTCACAGTGTGGGTCCTGGCAGACCCGTCACAGGGGTATAATCCTCTTCCCCCCTTCCCTTTTCCAGCCGTGAGCGCCCATGTGGCTCACAGCAGCTTCAATTGTCCGGAGCACTTCTGGGTTCCAGTTGGTGCTGGACTATCAGGAGTGCCGTACCACTGGATGCCGGACAATTGGAGTTTTACTGTATTTGTGAAAATTTGGTCCAATACAATCTATGCATTCACTTCAATACAATTCACAACACTGCCTAGTCATTTCCAGCCATAAACAGAGCAATTTGCCTTTGCATAGCAAAGGTCTCAAATAGTTTGGTTCATGAGTTTTGAAAGCCATATTTGGAGTCAGGAAGGAATCCCCCACCCCAAGCTAGATTGGGGGAGACCACAGGAAGGGTCTCACCTACCTCTGCAACATGGGACATGGGTCTCCTGCAGGTTTGAACTAGAGTCAATGGTGGATTCAAATTATGATCTGAGAACGCCAGTGATTCAGCCAGAATTCAGGAGTGTGCAGGCCACAGAGCCTCACCCGCAATATGCACAAGGGTCAGACAAGATGATCATGATGGTCCTTCTGGCTGTAATGTTTCCGAGTCCAAGTGTCTGCTTGGGTCTATCGTCCTGCTCAGAGTAGGTTTAACTATGGCTCTGCATGTTGTCAGCACAGTAGCCTTACCAAGCCCCATGTTGAAGTCACACACTGAAGGAGCAGAAACAGCTGCTAATCAGACACAGCAGAAACCTGCAGTGAATTGGTCACCAAACAACCCAAAGTTCATTGGAATGGAGAGACTGGAATTGTGCTACCAGCCAGATGCCTGCATGCTGCTGGCCCATGAGGATTATTCTGGTGAAGAGCATCCTCAGCTCTGGGTTGGACAAGCCATACAGTTCCCACAAGAGGCAAGGCCACCAAGTTTTGCTCATGAACACAATCTTTCCTACAACGAGCTGTGATTGAGGCTGCTGGCTGGAGCCCTGACCACCTCTGAACAAGCTGCCCAAGAAGCCTAGAAGGGTTACATGGACTTAGGCCTTGCCATCTCACTCAGACGAAGTCTCGAGACAGCACAATCCACCAGCTGCTAACGCAGCCAGGAGGCACCGTCAGCACCACCAGCCCTCCAACACTGTCCTGCGAGTCCTCCTCACGCCGCCTCCCTGACCAAAAACGGGCAGCAATTGTGTTGCTGTGAAAAGCGACAGCTTCTCTCCCGGGCACGGGCGGAGCAGAGCACTCAAAGCCCGCCAGCCAGTCACTCTGCAATAGCGCCCGCCACTTCCCGCCCCTCCTCCCAGTCCTAGTCGCGGCTCGCTCGCCCCGCCAGCCAGTCACTCTGCAATAGCGCCCGCCACTTCCCGCCCCTCCTCCCAGTCCTAGTCGCGGCTCGCTCGCCCCGCCAGCCAGTCACTCTGCAATAGCGCCCGCCACTTCCCGCCCCTCCTCCCAGTCCTAGTCGCGGCTCGCTCGCCCCGCCAGCCAGTCACTCTGCAATAGCGCCCGCCACTTCCCGCCCCTCCTCCCAGTCCTAGTCGCGGCTCGCTCGCCCCGCCAGCCAGTCACTCTGCAATAGCGCCCGCCACTTCCCGCCCCTCCTCCCAGTCCTAGTCGCGGCTCGCTCGCCCCGCCAGCCAGTCACTCTGCAATAGCGCCCGCCACTTCCCGCCCCTCCTCCCAGTCCTAGTCGCGGCTCGCTCGCCCCGCCAGCCGGGGAGCAGTGGCGCCGAGTCACTGCTCAGACAACCCCCAGGACGCTGGCTGCACGGGGGAGCAGGCGCCCTTGGAACGAGCCTGCCCGCCCCGGACTCACCTCTCTCCTAGTGTTGTACTTCAGCCCTGGGTCCGCGGCTCCCGGGGAGGGCAGATACTCGTTCGTGTCTCTCTCTCCGGAGAGCCGAGAGCTCCGCATGCTCCCGGGAGGCGGGGGTGACGTTGACCCCAAACTCGTGGAAGTTTTCGGTCCCAGCGCAGTTAGTGCCGCGTTCAAAGTCCGTCCTGCGGGCCTCGTTGCCCAGGGCCCAGGGCCGATCGGTGTCACTGAAACTCGCAGGCCGGGTGCGGCAGATACTCGTTCGTGTCTCTCTCTCCGGAGAGCCGAGAGCTCCGCATGCTCCCGGGAGGCGGGGGTGACGTTGACCCCAAACTCGTGGAAGTTTTCGGTCCCAGCGCAGTTAGTGCCGCGTTCAAAGTCCGTCCTGCGGGCCTCGTTGCCCAGGGCCCAGGGCCGATCGGTGTCACTGAAACTCGCAGGCCGGGTGCGGCCAGTAGCGGAGAGGCCGCGGTTTGGGGATTTCCTTCCCCTGTGATCACCCCAGC